GCAGAGCCCCGGGGCCACCGGGACCTCGGCGGGGTTCCTCCGCTGGCAGCATGGCCAGCACACGCTTAGACAACAAGGAAAGCAAACAGGACGGCCTGGTGAATTGTTCATTTCATGACAGTGAAAGTGTTGGAGTATCGGGCTGAATGAATCTTTCCGGACGTGCATACCAGCACCAGACAGAAAGCGACGTGTCCACCTGTGGCAGTCCCCAGCACACCACAGAGGACCTGGCTGTGCATGCCGCTGCGTGGAAGTAACTGGGAACCAAAGGCTGGGTTTGGATGGCTCTGGTTTGCATCAGTTTAACTTGTGCTGACTTACTGCTGAAATAAAAACACGGCTGATACAGAACCGCTGACCGATGAACATCCAGCTCCTGTGGTACGTTAGCTGAAATAGGCACCTGAACCTACCCTGCTGAATTTTAGTGCAACTTTTCAATTGTAAAAGTTCAATCCAAATTTTATGAAAAAGTTAATCACAGACACCTTATTAATCTTATTGAGGCATGGATTCATGCCTTCATGATAAGTTTAGTCTCCTTACTGACAACCTGTCTATGCAGCACTTTGGAGCAGAAGTTAACCATTATTCTTAACACCTCAGATACTGTCCCTGTTTGAAACCAAAAGGGAAATGCAACATCTTTCATCCTCTAAACGTGACAGTGTTAAACAACAGCATTTCTTCAGTGTGACCATGTGTTATTTTAGCTCTTCAATCATTGCTTTTTGATCCACCTAGCCATAAGTAGTGATCATCATTTGTTTACTCAAGGCTCTTATTTAAGCCTGTATTCCATCACAGTAATTGAAAGCCAGTTGGACCTAACGCTAAAATAGTGAGATACTGCCTAATGTACAGAAATACTCCAGGGTTAACCGTAGAGCCCAGGACCCTAACATTTAGGGTACCTAATCCCTAGTACCTCGTAGTGCCTACAGGACACCAGTGAGGGATCAAATATCCACTGTACCACTGACATTATAAAACACACAGCCAGAGCTTTTGGGGGCTGCTTTTCTTTGGTTTCTTTTTTTTTAAGGTAGAAGACAGCGCACACACAGGAAAAGCCTAGTTTCAGAATTAGGAACAGCCCCATATAAAAACTGTTGTAGCCCACCAGCAATTTAAGCACTACAGAGGGCTTTGCATGCACCACAGCAGAGACACTGAAGGAGGGATGAGAAGGACAATGAGGGAGCTCTAACAAAATACAGACAGCGTGGGAGAAACTATGAGGATACTTGCTGAAAATTTTGACTATTTTGCGCAAAGAGGGCACATCAGAGTTGGAAGGCAAGATAGCGTAAGGGCAATGTAATACATACTGCAGTGAGGGTAAGAATGGGTACAGGAGGACTTTAAAGGTGAGAAATTATTGGTTTTACCACCAACTAGTGTACACATATTGCTGATTATCTGGGATCCAAAACCCGATTTTCTGTTCTTACGCCATCAATTCAAAAGCAGCCTGTCTGTAGCCATATTCTGAAACTAGCTCAAGCTCCGAAGGGTGTTGCACAATAGCCATGTGTGGTTTGGCACACCGCAGCTGTACTCTGCAAAAACGTTAGGAGAAGAAATACCAGCTATTTCTAGAGAACGTGGGCGTCTGTGTACACACGTGTATGGAAACGGCTCCTGCTGGACCGCCTGGATTTTTAATTGTGAAGAGCACTGCCGTGCCTCTGCTGCTTACTTGTAGCTTGCAATTCTTCAAATTGCAGCATGCAATTCCACTATGAAAGCCCCTGTGACACAACAGGGAACAAGAATATCATCAAGTAGCAGACGCAAAACCTGATTTTATGAAACACAGGAAAAATAGAAGGGGCTAAGAGACCAAAGGGCAAATGGAGTCTAAAAGCAGATGGCTCTGGTTAAGCAGTATTTGGGGAGGTATTGCGACTGCAAATATCAGCTGGCTCTCCGCTCCATAAGCCTGTGCAGGGCGAGCAGCCCCAACGGAAGGCAAAACCACTGCGTTGCTCTTCAGACCTGGGGGTTTGGACAAACCTGTTGGAGAGACCGTGACTGTGCTTGCTGCCTGAGGAGCCGCTGCTGCTGCTGCTCTTGCTGCAGGAGTTTCATCTGGAGCAATTGCTGCTGAGGCGTGATTGCATGGATAGAGGGGGGCTGCATCATGGTGCCAGAGCGCCGCTGCAGCATGTTCGACAGGGCTTGCTTCGTATTAGTTGGAACAAAGGAGCCCGTCGGATCCAGCCTGGAACCACCTAAAAACCACCCAAAACACAAATGCGTTCTCTGCCTTCCGTAAGAACGTTGTTGGTGCAGCTCACTGCTAATTCATCAGCTCCTATCTGGTTAGCTCTACAGTAACGATGATACACTTATCTCTGTAAAGGCAGTGAACTGGATTAAACCAGATTACTGGTCTGAAAAATTAAAGGGGCAACATAACTTTGAAGACTACCACTTGTAAATGAGAACAAAAACTAAAGAGGCTATGGGCTGTTGCATGTTCTACATCACATAAAACGTTTGACTACGGCTGAAAAAACAAAGTTGCATGTCAGATCAAAAGCATGATATGAACGGCTTATGATGTCAAGACAGTTTTATCATGAGATGGCAATAACTTATGCACTCTATGCTATTTGATAAAAATCACATACCTGTCTATATGTTAGCCTTATGAAGGTAATCTTACACATATTTTTTTAAAATCAGCATTTCCTTAACTTTGTAGCCACTCTGGTATTTTCTGAAGACTTTTACACACTTAAATACAGAACTAGTTGTATTTGGAGCTTCAGAAAAAATATTTAACCTTTATAACTGGATCCAAACTTCTAAACTTCTGCATAATATCTGAGAAGGACAGAATAATATTTCTCAAAACATCATAAACTGCTGCCCCCTAGAGCAAGTACAATATCTATGTTAAATTGTATACACATTAACTGGAAGAAACAAAACAAGCCTACAAATAATTAGGTACATACCACAAATCCTGAAAAAAAAGTGAGCCCATGGATTTATTTATTCCATCTAGCAGATGTTAAATTAGTCACCATGGTTCTTGGTATGAATCAAAGAAGAAATAACCCAAAGGTCATTTGTTCCTTTTAATCATCCTTCTCCTACTTCACTCCTCATTGAACTTCTACCAGCTTTCTTTTACTAGCACCACAGTAGGTCATTTTTGCTTATCTACCCAAAAAGTTTAATAGCTTAACAGAGACAGACCTACGACTGGTAATAGCCCTTAAAAAAAAAAAAAAAAGCTAACTAAGGAATAAAATAAATGGCATCAGCAGACTCAGCCTGCTTTGGAGAAAGTGAGAAACAAAAAGTGGTTATAAGTCGTCAATTTTTATCACACATCAAATAACAAAGCCCCATGTCCGCGCATTCGAAGCGTACACATACCTGGTGGGAGGGGCTGGTTCGGCACGAAGAAGCCGGGCTGCTGCGGCTGCCCCATGATGTTGTACCCCCACAAGGCAGACTGAGGATGGTGCATCATTTGAGAGGAAATTGGTGAATAAGTGGGAGGCACTCTATATAAGTTGTTCTGCGGATATTCCTTAAAATATACAGTAAAAGTTAATGTTACTGACATTTATACCTTACTAACTCATAAATAATGCCAATTTTCCTACTAAATTATTAAAGGACAGAGACAGTTCCCATTGTCGTTTGCAATGATGTAAAAAACAGATTAAGTCTCAGGCTGCCCACAGGTAATTAACACTAACAACTTCATAGACACACCATCCATTTTTACCTTATTAGCAAGTATTTTCTGCAGGCTATAATTAGGTATAACACAAGCACAGCTTACTGTATCAGTATAGAAATAACAGGAGGAACTTAACTGAAACGTCAAAAAGGCCCGAAAATTATCTTAAAATTACAGCTACTTAAAAGGCAACACATGGACAAACCAGCTGGATGCTAACAGAATACTATCGTGCCTACAACCTGTACGGCTACACAGCGGCAGCAGTGCGAAGAGGACGCAATCGCACAGAACGCTGCTACTGGAAACGTACATTATTATTTGGGCGGTGCCAGGCGTGTTTTTCAAACCTGTGCTCTATGCCGTTCTTCAGCTTAGGAACCCACACCTCAAAAACCATTAAAGCCAAAAGAGAAAGTGTCTCAGAAGCCAGAACAAACTGCAGAGCAAAACAGTTTACCTATATGAAAGAGCTTCTTCCAAATTGGTTTCCATCTGAATGGGACCTGGGTTTGAACCAGCATGTTTGCTCTCAACATAATTTGAACAGGAGGAATTTTAGAAGTTGATCCAAACAATAACAGCTGTACTTCACACCAAACAAGAGAAAGCATATACAGAACCCAAATAATATTTAGCGAGTTAAGATCCAGTCCGGCGTATTTTACACAGCACATAAGGTCCCAACCACAGTGCGTTCCTCTGCACTGAGCTCCATTTGATAGAAATCCACCCTCCTTCCGACCACCTCCATTCACTCCCTGTATTAGGACCTGCTCCTCCAGGTGCAGGACAGTTTCTGAAGGTAGCTAAGATAGAACCACGCAAGATCAGACGCTTCGGCGAGGTATTTCGAGTTTTGTACGGGGCACCAACTACTTACATCAGCCCTTGAGCTTGACTTTGACTTTCGCTTCCTGCCCTTTGTCTTCTTCTCATCGTCCGCGGCAAGTTTTCCCTGATCTGAGAGCTCTCCTGACTTTCTTTCTGGTTCCTGAGAGACAGGTGTGGTGGGCTCTTCCTCCTCCTCCTCTGGAGGAAGGGGCAAGGGCTCGAGGTAGTAACTCCGTGGCTTGGGTTTGGTGTGCGTGTGGTACAGGAGGAGATGCTGCTGCTCCTCATACTTTATCACTTTCCTGTCGACACGAACTGTACCAAACCATGCCCAGGAGAGAGGAGCAGGATTTTTGTGACCTTCAAATAAATCCCAAGGGGACACCTTTTGTTTTGTTGAAACCTGAAGACCCTGTTTCAGAATGAAAGTGAAGTTAGTATTTTAAGAAAATTGAATGCTAGAGCAGACTACTTGCATTTGTACATCATTATCTGAGTCAGAAAAATCCAGAAAGGATTTCTTCCCCTCCACAAAATGTACCAAAGGCATACCAGTGGGATTTTAACCTCTACCCAAGGCTGCTGCTAGATAAAAGCAATTACATTTTTAGAGTACTATTTACTTATAGCTATGCTAAAAATCTCAAGTTCCATCTACTGTATTTTGGAGGAGAAGTCCAATATCTATCAAAAATTGCTAATCTGAGAATATGCTTGCTAAAAGTTTACATATTTAAATAAGGGGAGATAAGCCTAAGCAGTATATAACAAAAAACCGCCTACCTAGTCTGCAGAATAAAAAGCTCTGTCCTAAGCTCTATCCTTCTCTTTTAAATAAATTCACTTAAAAAAATTATGCATCCCTTCGTATTCCCAAAAAATCCAGAACAACTAATACACTTCCCCTCCTCCCCCTCTGGCTTTTTTCCTTTGTCTTTTGTAAGCAGGATCATGCCCTCCATCTTCCTCCCAGCAAGTAACAGGTCAACAGGGTCCCAGGTTAAATGAGCTCTCAAATGTAGGATTGTGCTTGGAAAGCAAATACTTCTGTAAGAGCTGCTGCTGTTCAAGTCAAACGTAATTTCCTTTTTGGCAACTTTTGTGGAGTTGGCTCCAGTCAAGACCCTATATTGCAAAATTGAGCAAACTTATGTCAGCACTCATCGCATTAGCAGTTACAAATTGACCGTGTACTCTGCGGATTTAACAAGGACGGACATGCAGCAAACAGGATGACTGAATTTTAAACAAATCGAAAAGCGAAAGTTTACCCAAACTCTTGAATTTGTGGAAGTCGCACAAAACTGTTTCCATTAAAGACGCATATGTACCTAAAGCTCTGAGACTATCTGCAGGTGTCAGGGAATCGTCAGGGAGAGGAGGATGTCGGTGCTGCCGCAGGGGTGGTGATGCTGCTGCATGGTGCCAGTCACACGAGGCTGCTCGAGCCCCTTCGGCTGGGGTTGAACAACTCCCTGCCTGCCTCTCTCTAAGCCCACTCCAGGTTTCACATGCTGCCGGAGAATTTTCACAGGGATCACGCAAACAAAAACCGTGCAAAATTATTTGGAGCAGGAATACATCTGATACCAAAAAGCGGTCTGTCGTTTGCAACTATTTTTTAAAGGTATTACTCTACGAGCCCAGCGTTCCTCACTTTTGGCATCGTTGCTCATAGAAAGCCTACGTGCGTAAAAGAGACTGCAGTGCTGTGGCTGAAGCTTTGGTAATGACTGAGAGTGCGTTACAGCACAAGTACAATGCTTTTATGATACCGCATATAAACACATGTACTGCACAAGCTGTACCTCTTTGCTTGAATTTCCTATGCTCCAAAAATCGTGGCAAAACTGAGATGAAAGCAAACGTTTACTCTTGCCTGTTTCTTATCAATGGAGTCAAATCCTGCAATTTTGTTCCCCTTGGTGTCGATCAAGGATCCCATTGGCTCACAAGTAATAATATCACACGTCTGCTTTGGCAAAGGGAGCAGCTGGCGAACCTTGTCAATGCTTTCTGACCGCTTGTCTCCCAGCTCTTTCTGGAGAATAAATACATCGATCAGTCAAAGAGAAGGGGGGTGGGGGGGAAAGGAAGAGAAACCTTGCACTGCTTTCACTATTAGAAAATGTCCAGTTTCTGGATGAACCACTTCCTTGTACTTTTACTAAATTTAAACAAGTAGCTTTGCAAGGGGTTTTTTTTGTTTTCTTTTCTTTTTTTTTAAGAATCTAAGTTATCTTTTCATGTCTCATTTAAATAGAACGTAGAAAGTATGTAATACAAATTTAGTGTCTCAAACATGAATAAAAGCCACTAAGTATCTTGCAGGGTCCCTAAATATGCAATTTTATACAAAGAAAATACTAGAAGACTGTCTTCCCACCCCCACAATCCTGTATTTTTATTTTCTTCTTTTTCTCCTTGTTATCACTAGTGCTGTTTCAGTCTCTCCTCTTTTTCCAAGAGGCCTTCCCAGACGCTAGAAATGACAGGACTAGAAGATGAGCACAGAATGCGATTCAAAAGACATGCTGAAAACGACAAGACGTAACGCTTACTTTCAATTTTTTCACTAAATTCATGTAAGCCCTCTTGTTTTCCTCGGGCCCTCCTTGTGAAGCGTTTGACAAGTCGGAGGCAAGCGTCCCGTTGATGAGGACGCCCAGCATATCCAGCACGGTTGTGAACAACTCGCTGAGAGTAAAGACAAGCATTACCCCGAGGAACTGTCGACTGCCAAGAGAGCCAGGGACAGATATTCGCGGCAAAGGCTACAGACGCACTTCTTTAGACAAGCGGGGTTTTTGGGGGCTTTCTGCATACACACGCATCAGCTTGCATGCGTAAGCCCCAGTGTATACATGCAGGTGGACTGTCAAGACGCACACACAAATCGTATTACAAACCCCATCCCAGAGCCACAGACAGCACAAACTGCTAACAGACAGTCATTAGGAATTACAGGCTCCGACTTAGGAAAGCGCTCAGCGCATGCTTGTTAAGGAAGAGTGCAAACAGAGGCTCCAGTGCTTTCCGAAACAGAGGTGCTCCCAACCAAGACCAGCACTGAGACGTAAGTTGCACTCAAGCAGTAATAGGATAATAGTAAGAAAAAATTTACAATAACATACATGCAATCTAAACTTAAAAGCAGTAAGGACATGAATTAGCTTAAGTAGCGCAGACATACTTGTTGGTCTGCATATCAACAGTTCCCGAAGTGATTATCTGGAGGAGCAGAAGCGCCCAGTCTGTGGTCCACTGGGTACTCCTCTGCACGGTATCGAACATGCCACCTACCTGCAAAATAACACAGCAGACAGCAAGGCTCTGCATACATCTCACAGATGCATACTTCCCTTATCGTATGTACTACTTATGAGTAAAACTGCTATCCAGTCCCACGAGCTCTTGTGTGCTGAATGCCATCTTGAAGTGCTGACTTCACATAACTTTTCCTCCCCACCCCATCCTCCCAGCAAAAAGCTTCTCCTACGAAGGAACTATAGGAAAGCAAAATATTATTGCACTGCTCTTTCAGTTTCATATCTTCACTTTCATGTTTGATGCAACAAACTGAAGTCCGTGAAAAAATTCTCAGAACTGAAAAGGTGCTAGTTATCACTTGGCTCCCACACCCAAAAATTAGACAATCATGTCCAATGCAAAGAGAAAAAAATCTGAACAACAACATAGCATTGATTGAAAATGAAAACTGCTGAATGATACATTTTACCCTATGAACAATTTTTCACTATTTCTGCCAGTATAGCATGATACTGTAAAATATGCCCTGGCTTTCAGAAGGAGCTCTTTTACCAAAACGCACCCTTCAAAGGACCAAATTGTAGGAACACAAGATACCTGCTCAGGTTGCAAGCCTGACTACCAAACTGGTCAGAAGAGAGTCCACCCCCCAAATTTCAAAGGTACAACACTTCTAGCTAACGAAAGCACAGCTCAAGCCTTCAGACAGTGACAACCCTGTAAATGAGAAAACACCTCCCTGTCGCACACAGGATGCCCG